CATTTTTTTAAACACGTTTCATGCTGATGCGTTTCAGAATAACAAATAAGTACTTCTAATAAGAGAGTGAATCTACACTTTTGTACGTCAAGAATAAACTATAAATAATAAATATCACACTTATTATATTTAATATGCTGTCATAACTGTCATGAGTTACGTAATCACTTTACATTAAAAACACATCCTTAGATTGATCACAGCTCTAGACATTAACACCGTTCGATGCCCACTCAGTGAATTAGAGCTTAAGCATCCTCACGCACAAAACCGAAGGTCTTCTTGAGCTTGAACTCCGAGAGTAGCAGCAGTTGTGGATATGCACTGTTGACGGGTCCTCCTATACCAAGACAACACGGTTGTCCAGTGATTTCAGCTTCCTAATGGCGGTAGTCTAACTAACAATGAATGATTCATTCATTCATGATTCATTCCATTGTTAAAATATGAAAGGTCGGACGGAAATAAAAGTTGTTTTTTTTTTTGTTTGACATGATAAGGCCGCCTATTTCAACCAATTGAATAATAAATAAGTAAACAACAAATTAATTATTTTGTTTAGAAAGTCAATAAACAATTGAAGTAATTCATTGATAAATTAATTATTATTACTATTATTATCAACATTAAGCAATCATCAGTGAAACTACCTTATTTAATCATTACCAACAATTTAAAATTAATCAATAGAAGAAATCAATGCAAACTGATTATTTAATTCACCTACCTATTAAATGTGATATTCAACTAGTTGGTATTATTATTACTCTTAAGTAGTATAATCTTAGACATTCTGTTGTTTTACTTTTAATACATCGACTATATGAAAGTTAATTAATTATTCATTTATCATATATATATATACTACTTACAATTATATTTTCTCATTATAGAGTAATGCAGATTGTTGTTTTATGTTGAAATCGTCAATCATTGATTACTGTTAGGTCATGATAAGAAATCTGAAAGCACTAGACGGCCGTCTCGTGGATGCGCGCTTGCTGAAGAGTCTCACGGTAAGGCGAAATGGTCTTTCAGAGCCTTCAGCTTCCTGATGATGGTCTAACAGGGAATAATGACTCACGATTTTAATGTAAAACAACAATCTCCATAACTTTATAATGAAAAAAAAATCATAAAATGTGCTGCTTATCGGTGACTAACTTCACGAGAAAGGAATTTCCCGAAGTCCTGGGAAGAAGCCCTGTGACTACTGAAGTTCAACCTTGTTGGGTGTAGGCAGTAACACTGTTGGATACTGGCACAATGGTCTAGAGATTGAGCATATTAGTTCGTTGGATCAAAGGTCCCGGGTTCGATTTTATGCTAACGCAGGTTGTGGATGCAGAATTTCAATGAATAACAAGTATATGTATTATTTTTGTAAAAATTTATATTGACTAATGATTTGCTAACCTGAATTTTAACTATGAGTAATTAAAAATCATAGACAACACAACATAAGGATACTGCTGTAGTGAAGGAGAATACAGGTGAGGACAACCGAATTGTATTTATCGCAAATTACAGAGTTACTCAGTAAAATAGGAAAACCATATCGTAAATCGTTAATATGCAAATCTTCAATCAATCATCGATCCATTGTCTGACATTTCATTATTCATGCGTTTCATTCAAATTCCATTGTGTTCCCACTCTTCCTTTCTTGATCTTTCCCCATCTTCTGCTGCCAGACATTACGTTTTCACTCGCGTCATATACTACTTATAAGTAGCGCGCACCACACTACATAGGGATTGAATAGATTAGTAGAGAATATATTATAATTTAAAGAGGAAGATATTAAATTTCAGTTCTCAATGTCTTTGAAACAACAAATATAATGGAGAGTAAAATCTATATGACAAGACTTAATTAGAACAAAATATTCACTATAGATTTCACTACCAACCATCCACTATTCACTTTCAACTAAATAGCTTGTTTCTTTTAGTTCACGGAAAAAACTCTTCATACTTCAATTAGTTTTTCTTTTGACAATCTCAAGCAAGAAGCAAACAGCTAAGGTATATTAGTATGATGAAAAAGAGCTCTCACTTTGATATTGAACTTATCACATGTTAGAATGTTTGTTATTCAGTCAACAATATCTTATTTTCTATAGAGTGTTAGAAAAATTTCAAATCTCACCGTTTTAAATTAGAGTTTTTGATAATCTTAGGATGATACTTTCGTATTGTTGATGTACCAGACATTAGTTTAAAATGTGACTTTGATATCAAAAGTAAATATTTTACTTATATGTAGTCTGCATTATGGGGTTGTGAAGATTGTTAAGTTACACATTTTTGAAACCATGAATCGATCAGTATTAGACCATTATTAGAAACCTGAAAGCACTGGACGGACGTCAAATCCTGGTATTGGACTCATCAGTGGCAGTGCACATCCACGACTCCTGCATCCCGCAGGATTCGAACCCAAGACCTCTGGTCTTGAGCGCGAACGCCCAACCTCTGAACCATTGAGCCGGTATCTAACGGTGTTAATGTCATGTCTAACTTGATCAATTCACGGAGTTGCTCAACTTCATACACTGTCTTCGATAGTTTCTGTCTACACTGGCCACGACTTCCCACTAGAACTCGGTGAAGATTCCTCACAAAGCTAGTCACTAGTGAGCACAGGTAATTTTTGCATGACAGGGTTGTGAAGATTGTTAATGTACACATTTTTGTTTCTTTTTACACTAACTGTCTGACTAACATAATCTTCTATCTAGTAATTATTGGCATTCACGGATTGTCTCAAATAATAATAGTCACTTTGTAGTGAAGGAGAACGCAAGTGAGGGCGACCGAATTGTATTTAATCAAAATTACACAGTTACTCAGTAAAATAAGAAAACCATATCGTAAATCGTTAATTTGCAAATCTTCAATCAATCATCAATCCATTGTCTGACATTTCACTTAATCATGCATTTTTGTGTTCCCACTCTTCCTTTCTTGATCTTCCCCCATCTTCTGCTGCTGCCAGACAATACGTTTACATTCACGTCATATACTACTTATAAGTAGCTCGCACCACAACTTCACATAATGTCAACAATTAAATTTCATAACAGTCTGTAAAAATCTAAAACAATCATACTAACAATAATAATAATAATTCTTTTGATTCAACTTGAATAACACAATAAGACCAATGACAAGATTCTCTTCTACGCGTGACTTAAAATTATTATTATTAAATTTTTTTTTTTTGAATGGAAGCCAAATTGATCAGTGAACTAACTGATGAAGAAACCTTTCACTATTTATCTCTTTTTCAATATAGATATTTTTGTCTATTTGTGTTACCATGGCGAATATCGTAGCGTTTCTATCCCCAACTAGTATAGTTTTTACTACTGAAGGATTGACAACTAACTAGTCTAATTAATTACAACATTTTTTGAATGAATAAATAAATATGTTACAGGAATAATCATATTTATTTTTATTAATATTAGAGAATACCTCGTTATAGTGGAATCTAAGGCAGGTGTTTCGTCCTCTCCTTTTTTGGGACACGTCAGTTGGATAGGCCTAGTCATATTAATGTCTATGTTCACAATAGAATTCGGACACAGTATCTCATTAAATATCATGTAACGTCGTAGTGACCCTCTAAGAGTGGACATATACCAATAGTCATTGATTGGTTGCTGTCCTTGATTTCACTGGGAGGAAAATGAATACTACTATCAGATTTGAATGTCCGAATCATTGTTTAGCCTTAAAACACGAAACATAATCGTCAAGGTGCTAATTAGATGATTACAAGCGATTCTTAATAAAAATTGAAATTTTATTTACCTAATGATGGTTTACTAGACAATAAATAACCAATTATTTTCCCAAAATTCAAGGCATACTTTCCTAAGACTTTATTGTATGTATGTTCATTGTTCTAACGTGTGAGTATCAGTGAATAGGGTTCAATTTTTTCAATCAGTAGTTTCTTATCAGTTCGATTCAAGAATCTTACACTAACACTGATGATGTTGTAGTGAGTGAGCCAGTTAGAAGTGACTATAAGAGCAGGTCATTTGATGACTGACCATCAGAAAAAGTTATCAAGGACTAATAGTTTTCATTAGTTAGGAAGTTGTGAAAAATATCTATATAGATGAGTATTTGTACAGGTTATTCAGTAGCCAAATAGACTTTCTATTCCAAGTCTTGCTTTTTAGATCAAGTAGCCAGTTCGGAGAGATTACAAATGGATCGCAGTCAGGCCTTGGCACCTGCATATCATGATAATAAGTTATACCATATTTTTAATAGAACGATTGTGTTGTGTAGTCAATATTATTATTGTTATTATTATTATGACTTGTATTTTTATGAATGAAATGTTCACTTAGCTAAGTTGTATTTCATCCATTTATAAAATACCTTTTCCACTCATCTGTAATTTTCAATTAAAATAATCTTCAACTTATTGTAAAATGCAACCCTCACACAGTTACTTACTAACTAATCTACTTTGTTAGTTTTTTTAGTCATCACTCTCTCATCGTTGCGAGATAGTCGTGGTAGTAATCAGCCAAGCAGATAGCACAAACTTAAGTGAAATCCTGTTATTCAACCTCAATTGTTCTTCTAACTTTATTGAAAGTTATAATTTAGTAGGTATTTATTTACATGAATAATGTATGCACGATTGCTGTCAAATATCGTTTGCATTACGGGGTTGTGAAGATTTTTAAGTTACACATTTGATATCACGAGTCGATCAATGTTAGACCACCATTAGAAAGCTGGAGGCACTGCATATCCGTTTCATCTTGGCAGTGAGAATCCACGACTTGTGCACCTCGCAGGATTCGAACCCAGGGCCCTCGGTCTTGCGCGCGAACGCCTAACCTCTGAACCATTGAGTCGTTACCGAACGCTGTTAAATACCGTTTGATCTGTTAAATTAAATACCGAATTTCATTTTACATAACATTATTTATTTATTCATTCTGATGAATTTTTTTGGGTGGATAGGAAATTGATGGAATAAAAACTAGTCAAGATCAAGTTAGAAATATCATAAATCGTGCTGCAGCTCAATTAGGGTAAGTTGTTTTATTTGTTTCACAGTTAAAAATTATTTTTTTTGATTTTTTACTCATGTTTAACAGTGACTACTTATAAGTAGAATGATTAAATTTCACTTTGAAATAGAACCGAGTAGTGAACTATTCTGATTGGTTGGATTGTTGTGATTTTTAATCGATTTCAAGGTAGAATTTTATTCTTCCCACGAACTGACATTGATATTTTCTGATGGAACAAAAGATTTAATAAGCATTTGTGTTTGTTTTGCTTATTTTTTGAATATTGAACAACTCATCAACGATCAGGGATTTCACACGATGTTGAATCGGTTTAACATTAGGTCTGTTGTCATCAGTCAAGATTTAACCAACCATTCAGTCATCTAGATCGATATCTAATCATACTAGCATTCCAATGCCAGTCAATTCCACGAAATAATATGGCCAATACTGACAGTTTATTTACGGGCAGAGTTTTTGGAGGTTTGTTTATTTATACATTTGAAATCATCAGTCAGTCATTGTTAGACCACCATTAGAAACATGGAAGCACTGAAAGACGGCCGTTTCGTCCTGGTATGGGACTCATCAGCAGTGCGCATACACGACTCCTGCACATCGCAGGATTCGAACCTGGGACCTTCGGTATTGTGCGCGAACACCTAACCACCGGACCACTGGGCCGGCATCCAACGGTGTTAATGTCTAACTCTGAATGATCTACAGATTTTGCGTGACCTCACCCATTTGTCTTTGGTAGTTACTGTCTACACCCGACAGGGTTGAACTCCATTAATTAGTCACGTCTTCTCAACTAGAACTCCGAGAATTTCCTCACAAATCTAGTCACTACTAGTGAGCACTGTTACGATATTTTCGAGCAAAGTTTTTGGAGGTTTGTGTTTTTACACACATTTGAAATCATTATTTTTACTGTGATAGTCACTAGTTTCGAGATGAGAGTTTGTTGACCTAAATAATAAAACATCATTATTCTCTCCCTATTTATACAAAAAGGTTGATAAAAATTGTTTTTCTTCCAAACATCAGGTCAGCCATGAGTTAATAATAAAATTTTTATTATTGTTGTTGTACTCAATGGTTAAAGCGTAGAACTATTTTTTTGTCAGGACAAAGTTATTTCTGGCTTTTTTTTAAAAATAAAAATTAATTTACTTTTCTCATTGTCCATGTTGTTATTAAGTTTAAGGCGCGTTCACATGTATTTCTTCTGATCATCTCTGACTAGATTACATGCCTTTTAAGAGTAAAGAGGGTTTGATATCTGAGAGATCATATCTAATAAATATTGTTAAATTTTCATACTTCATAGTATTACACGAGCTGATCTTATCATGAGTAACCCCAGAGTGCACAACTGTAATGAAATCCCCTACTGAGACAAACCAACTGATCAGAGTGCTTCCTAAATTTCATTGATATTGAAACTAAGATTAACCTGTGATGTAAACCGTGAAATTGTTTTTCGCCATCAATAAAAGCGGTTTCTAGACCTTGTTTAAGGCTTCTTTTCTAATCGTGCGGCTAAAACATCAGCTAACACTTGTACGTTTACAAAAAATTATCTGGTTAATAAACTAACATCCACTGGAACTCGATCTATGGAGTTCTATTTAATAGAAAGAACATGGTTCTATATAGAGCTAATGAGGACAAGATTTATTTTGGGCGACAGTATATATTGTGAATAGAGGAGATAAACTACTTTGGGAATAGAATATGTGAATCTTAGGACATCCAACATGTTACACATTATCTCCGAAAACTAGGATTTCTTTCATTGTATAAATATCTGCCATAGTCTGTCAGTCAAAAACAACTCAAAATCTGGTGCACATATGCGTCGGTTCAGGTTTCTACATGCACCATAATAGCACAGTGAGATGAGATTTTCAAAATGAATAACGAAGTAATCGAAGTATTAACACTATCAGAGGTGATAGAAAATATTAGGTATGGATAATAATAATATTGAGAAGACTGAGGCAGGCGAGGAAGAGTGTTTGATGCAAATTTACCCTCTGAGTCAGTTAAAAACGAAAACATTACATTTGCACACCATCTTTGAGTCGTGACTTCCGACACTCCATCCTTCTTCCATTCCTGTTGTTGCTTCCTTTCCTTCCTGTTGGTACTCCATTTACTTCTTGCTTTTGCTCCATTTGCTTTCCGTTTTCCTCTTCTGACCGTGAGCCTTCTTCTTATACTACTTATATCGTTCGTATAAGTAGCACACACCACAATATGACTCTAGGAGAAGAAAGGATCATTTCGTGAAATAATGAGTATGAGGTAGTTTTGAAACTCATTATCTTTAGGGAGAACAAAGATTGAGCATTTATTCACCTATGCCATCGAGCTTAATCCTGAATAAAAAATATCACTTCACATCTCCAACAATTATTCACGATAATCTAAAAAAAGAAGAAACCTCGACGAGGTCATTTGAACTGCCTTCACACACATGGTTCAGTTCAACAGTCGATGATTTCTTATATATTACTCACTAACTTACGCCTGTTACCCCCAATGGAGCATAGGCCGCCCACCAGTTTTCTCCAACCAACTCTGTCCTGAGCTTCCCTCTCCAATTCTGTCCAATATTTGTTCATTCTTCTCATATCTTTCTCTATTTCTTGGCGTAATGTATTCCTTGGCCTTCCTCTTTTCCTTTGACCATGAGGGTTCCATATAAGGGCTTGTCTTGTGACGGATTTCTCATATATACACCTCTTCTCTAATTTCTTTTTAATCCTAATCTGTCATTCAGTCGGAGGTCTTTTTTCACGGAAAATACTTATTTCCTACTATAAAGACTAATAATTACATTTGTTTATTTATTTACTCTGTACATGTTTGCGTCATACAAAAATCCCATTAATAATAATAATAATAATAATAATAATAAGTGGTTTGTTCACATAGAGAAAATCAACATATAATTAATTTATCTTTATTTAAAATTTATAGTGTTCATTTCGTATTTTTTTTCTTTTTACGATGTTAAAACAAAACAATAGCCTACTTATTATCTATCATTACAACCAACAATTAATCGATTACGGTTGCTATTAGTGATACTATTTAGGCTACAGAAGTTCTTACTTTCTTTTCTGTAATTAGTAGTAGTTCTGTTATAAAACGAAATATGACAAAAAACTAATGCGCTCTTGTTTTTTTTTGCATCTCTTTCGTTAAAGTAGTAAACAACTGATTTACACTTTTGGGGAAGAGTTTTGGAGGTTTGCGTTTTTACACATTTGAAATTATCAATCAATCATTGTTAGACTACCACCATTAGAAACCTGGAAGCACTGCAAGACGGCCGTTTCGTCCTGGTATGGGACTCATTAGTGGCAGTGCGCATCCGCGACTCCTGCTCCTCGTGAGGAAATTCTCGGAGTTCTAGTTGAGAAGACGTGACCAATGGAGTTCAGCCCTGTCGGGTGTAGGCAGTAACTACCAAAGACAAATGGGTGAGGTCACGCAAAATCCCTTGATCAATCAGAGTTAGACATTAACACCGTCGGATGCCGGCCCAGTGGTCCGATGGTTGGGCGTTCGCGTACAATGCTGAAGGTCCCGGGTTCGGATCCTGTAGGTGCAGGAGTCGTGGATGGGCACTGCCGTTGATTAGTCCCATACCAGACCGAAACGGCCGTCCAATGCTTCCAGGTTTTTAATGGTGGTCTAATAATGATTGATTGATGATTTCGAATGTGGTTTACACTTGTTTTTTAATCATATATTACAAATAATTAACTTTCTTCGTTTGTATTCATGTGTATAGTTGTGACATACTACTTAAACTCTGAATAATTTAAAAAACGGCAACAATAATTGAGTTTTATAGACAGACCTATATGTCATTTTCGTAGATAAATGTGAGAAAAATTATGATTTTCACCGCAGGGTCCTGGAAATTGTTGAGTTTCACGGTCAGAAACCTGGAAGCACCAGACTCATCAGCAGTGCTTATCCACAACGTCGCAGGTGGGAATCGAACCTAGGGCCTTCAGACTTGCGCGCGAGCCGGCATTCAACAGCGTTCATTTCTAATTTCGATCAATTCACAGCCTTATGCAACCTTACCCACTGTCTTCTGTGGACAGTGATCAGTGGTTTTGGAGGTTAAGCGTTCGCGCGCAACACCAAAGATCCTGGGTCCCTCCAGAGGAGTTATGAATGTACACTGCTGATGAGTCCCACACCAGGACGAAATGGATGTGCACTACGCCCAGGTTCCCAATCGTGTTCTTATGAATAATACGGTAATACTCTATTTTAATATATAATAAATGTTAGTCGATCAGCTGTAATCAACATACAGACAGGTAGAAATATGCTTTAACCCAAGCTGTCGTACTATATCAGAACCACGGAGTGAAATTATCTGAATAACTACTGAAAAAATCTTAACAATCCTTAATAGTAATGTTAACGAGAAAGACTAAACATTAAAGATATGATTTGAAAAGTTTGGATCAAAAGGTATTATGTATAATGGAACACTGAAATTCAAGTTACAGAGTAAATAAAGAGTGGATGCCTGCTCATCACTGTAACCATATCTGATTCATATTATTCAACACCTTTAAAACTAGATAATCTGCATGTATTGATTTAATCCAGTCCAACAGTCGATGACTTCATAAACTGATGTCATATATATTCATTAGATCACTCCTACCTTTCTCCTATCTTACTCTTACGGCAGTGAGTAATAGTTGGACGTGCTCCAACCATCTCACTCGTTAATAACTCAAGATCTCATCAACAAATTTCCCATCTATGCCTGATACCCTGAGTCTAATCTCATAATTGCTCATATTGTCTTTCTATGATACGTAAGCAGTGCTTTGAGGTCACAGTTGACAAAGCTGTGCTGCTGATGCACGTTGTTGTTTTTACAAGGCTTATTCTACGAACAGAATAATATAGAGGAGCTAGCTGTTTCACAGTATATTGATCCGTTAATGCAACTTGACAAAAGCCAA